CTTTCCCTGGTTCTTTTAATTTGGTGTCTATCATTGCTAATTTGCTTTCAGAGCTGTGCTCTTCTGGCAGCTTAAACTCAGGCAATATTTCTTTCAAGAGCTCCCAAACTTTGTCCGTATATCCTGGACTTAGGAAAAAAACAACAAAGATTGATCTCCAAATGATTTTTTTTCAGCCTTAGAGTAAAACAGTAGTGACAGAATAAATAAGTTTGATATTTAATAAGACTAATTTTAATTGGTACTTCAATTTTTAGTTGTAAAACACCATTATATATTTATTTACTCAACAAGTTTTCATTGAGTGCCTACTGTGTGCACATTGGAAGTAAAAACATGATGCTCCTCTAAAGGATCACCTAGCCTGGCAGAGGAGTTAAGCATGTTAACAGCTATCACAGGAAAAGAGTATGTATTTGAGTAACTATTAAGGGTCAGGGACTTTGCCTGTGTTGTCGTCTATGTAAATAAAGGTCCTTATCTTACTTGGCTTCTCTGTGGAATATGAAAGTGTTGTTACTCTCCTCTTCAGATACTTTCCTGAGCTTTCCATAACCTTACATTTTCTTGACTTTCTTACTCTTATAGAAATTAATTGCAGACTCTTTTAAATGTTCCCTCTCTTCTGCTCATTGTTTACAATTTAGGGTTGCTGTTCCAGAGTTCTCCCCTTCATGTTCTGGTCATTTTACATACATTTTCCTCAGTGAACAAATACAACCAGGTTTTGAATTGGCCCATATATAAATACAACCCTCAATCATTACTTCAGCTCAAACATCTCTCCTGCTATCCAGATACAATCATACAACCACCTAATAAACAAAAAGATAATAAATAAATGAAAATACCTTGTTACTGTCTCCTACTTAGTACTCAAGACAGAAAACTGAGAATGACCAAACCTTGAAATGGTCATCAAATAACACACAGTATCACTTTACTTTGATTTAACCTTCTTTCACTACAGTAGATCACCTTATCTCCTTTCCTGTCAGGAAATTTCTGTGCAGGAGCTCTGAAAACCCCTATGGATTCCTTCATGAGCCAGCGTTCCTACTCCAGTCTTGCCACATGTGCACTCCTCCAAAAATCACAGGTCTGATTAGGCCATCCTTCTATTTAAAATCCCTCAGTGACATTCTGTCATTATAAGGATGATGTAAACATTCCTTAACATGGCATAAAAGGCTTTTGTCTGTCTGGTTTCTGCTTACCTTTCCATCCCCAAGTCCTTTCCACCTCTAAAATTTACTACACATAATCCTGCCATGCAGAACCATGTATCTTTCTAGGACAATATCTGCTTCTTTTACCTTGCTAGCCTTAAGTCTCTGAGTTGACGTCCTTGCCTCAATCAGCTGGGTTAATTTCAACTAATCTTTTGAAATCAAATAAAAATACAGATGGTCTCCAACTAAAGATGATTCAAGTTATGATTTTATGACTTTATCATAGGTTTAACTGGACTTAACCACATCATAAGTCAAGGAGAATTTGGACTTATCATATTTGACATTTAATTTTTCAACTAAATAATGGGTTTATCATGTAATAAACACATTTTGACTTATAATATTTTCTCTTTCTCTCTCTTTTTAATTTTTTTTTTTATATAGTGCATGTACTTATTTGACAAAGAAAGCATGCCAAAGGGAAGATGGCCATACCACAATCCTTTCTCCTCTATTCTCCATTCAGGATTTTGGGCATGCAGGCACATGGGGCTGCCATGCTTTTCAAGGCACTAGGTACAAGACTCAAATTTCACAGTTGGTATCATGGGCTCTAGCTACGTTAACCACTACACCACTGGCTGGCCCACAATAATTTTAATTTATGTTGTATTTATGGTGATGTAACCCCGTCTTAAGTCAAGGAGCATCTGTACTACTTTATAGGTTAATTAAGCTATGTGGTTTTGCTCTTAGTTCCCAAAGACTCTTTTATACACTTGTAGCATAATATACATTTTAAAATATTTTTAAAAATGTTTTTAGGCATGTGCACTTAAGAGAGAGAAATAGAAAGTATCCCTCAGTGGGGTGTTGTCTTGCCAAAAATACTTTTTCATTCATTTATCCACTCTGTCAGGATTTGGGGCATGCAGGTATAAGTGCCTGGCATCTTTTTCAAGTCACCAGGGCCAGGACTGGGGCTACAACATGAACTGAACTTGTCAAACATGTGAGATCTAGCTCCCTTAACTGCTGCACTAAAGACCCAGCCCTAAAAATACTTTTTAAATTACTCATTCAATAAACTTTTTGATATTATACTGAATGCTCATCATTCTGTGTCACTGTTACAAGCATAGGAGGCACAACATTGAGCAAAACAAAGAGGTTTCCTACTGTCATGACCTTAACATCCAGTGAATGGCCACACCAAAAAAGAGAGAGTCAAACAGATTATAACATGAAGTGATCATTTTCAAGATAAAAATAAAATAATGGAAGATGGCATATGGCATAATTTGAAGAAGGAATAATTTAGGTTGAATGCTCAACAAGAACTGTCTGAGAAGCTGATTTTTATCCTAGGTAAGACCCAGGGTAAGAAAGAAAACAAGAATAGCATATATAAAGACCCCATGCCATTGAGTTTAGTATATCTGAGAAACAGAAAGAAGACCTGGATTACCACGTGAATGGTTGCCAAGACACAGATGAGATCAGGGATAAAATCAGAGATTATGGAAGAGTCAGAAGTGTAGATCTCTGAGGACCAGAGTAAAGATTCAAGTGTAATGCCTAACCACTGAAAGGTTTCACACAAGGAGAGTAATATAATTTGGTTTATATTTTGGAAAATTATTCTGATTACCACTTGGAAAATTAAATAGAGGAGGATAATGTAAACCCAAGGAGATTAGTTTTAAAACTACGGCAAGTGAGCAGTGATGGGAAATTGAACTAGGATTGTAATAATTAATATGCAGAAAAACAGAATCCAAATTAATAGAAGAGGTTCAATTGACAGGGCTCAGTAAAAGATTATATATGAGTGGTGAGGAAAATAAGGATCAAGGATGACTCCTACTCTTTTCTTTAGCTTGATTGTCTGGGCGTATGCTAGTATAGTGTACCAAGATGAAATATATAGGAAAAGTACAAGCTTGGAAGGTTGAGAACCAAGAGATTATTTCTGGATATTTTGAGATATATTTTTGACATCTTCATAGCTATGCAATTTAAATGATTGTGTATAAACCCAGTCTAAAGTTTAGAAAATAGTCATTAATCATAGAGCTGTGAACTTGAAAGTCACTGGCAAACAGTTTGTTATTTAAGGACAGGAAATCTGGTACATACCATCATTTAGTAGTTGAGCAGTGACTGAGGAAATATCTAAGAGGGCTGAGAAAGAGCAATAAATAAGGTAGGAGAAAAATACGATTGTATTGTGCCAAAGGAAAGAGTTGTTAAGAAGGTCAAATACTGGGATGTCAAGAAAACAAGGCAAGAGAGATGACTTCTTGATCTTACAATGTTAAGATCTTTGTTGTCTCTCAGGAAGAGCCGTGTCAATAGATAATGGAGAATGAGAGACTAAGAGTATGAGAAGAGACTGGGAGTTGATGATATAGAGACTATATTTCCAGATAACTCATTCATCAAGATTTTCTCTGAAGAAAATAGTGAGATGAGCTGATGACTGGAAAATAATAATAGATTTCTTTGTGCATCTGTGATTTGTTTCAGTGCTTGAACTGCCCTGTATTCATTGTTGAATCTCTAGGACCTAGCATATACCAGGCCTTTAGGGTATATTATTTTACCATTTAAACCCTTGGAAGCTCTGTATTTTTGGTATTACAATCTATTTGTTTAAAAGAATTACTTACTTACTTTATTTGTCATTATTATTATTATTACTATTTAATGTGACCATAGAGAGACAGAGAGGCAGAGAGAAAGGGAAAGATAGAAAGAAAGCTGCCAGTTCTGGGACCCAAATCACCGTTGACCATGTGGAAGTCCAGCACACTAACCACCAGATCACCTGCTGGTCCCACAATCTTAGTCTTTATTTTTCTAATTTTTCTTTCTTTATTGATTGATTTTTAATATATATTTTATTTACATTTAATCAGTGCACATCTCTGTACAGCATACCAGATGGTTTTTCTAAGCATGAATAGAGTACAGGATAACTTTTCATTTTTGTGTCTTTTAAATGGTTTTTGCCCTGATTACCTTCTTCTAATCCTCTATTACCCAACCCCTCCTATAATGTTTTTAGTCATCTCCTGTTGCCCTCCCTGCTTTTATACCTTGCAATTGCTCAGTTTCTGCCATAGAGTGCAGATATTCAGTATATATTAAAGAGCAACATAACACGCCTCTCTTTCATAGTCTGGCTTGCTTCACTTAGCATTCATTTTTTTATATTTGTCCACTTTGTCCCACATGTCAGGATTTGATTGTCTTTTATGGGGACTAGAATTCTACAGTGCATAGGTGCCACATTTTCTCAATCTATTCATCATTTGGGTTGATTCTATGTCTTAGTAATTGTGAATAATGCTACATTATACGTGGATGTGCAATTGTTTTTTCCCACAGGCAGTTTTCTTCTCCCTGGGTGTGTATCTAAAATGGAATTGCTAAATCATATGGTAGTTCTTCTATTTGTAGGTTTTTGAGAAACCTCTATATTGTTTTCCACCATGACTGTACTAATTTAAATTTGCACCAACAGTGTAGGAGGGTTACATTTTACCACAGCCTCACCAGCACTTACCATTATTTATTTTTTTTAATCTGGCTGGGGTTAAGTGGTATCTCATTGTGGTTTTTGATTTGTATTTCCTTTATGATAAGAAGTGTTGAACATTTTTCTTTTCTTTTTTTTTTATATGGTTTTTGTCCATTCACATATCTTCCTTGGTGAGTTGTCTGTTCAGTTCATTTACCCATCTTTTCATTGGAGTGATTTTTTTTTTCCCTTATGGGTAAGCTGCTTAGTTCTCTGTATATTCTGGTTATCAGCCCCTTACCTGAGGCATAATTTGCAAATATATTCTCCCATTCTGAGGGCTGTCTCTTCACTTTGATTATTACTCTTTTGTTGTGCAGAAACTTTTTGGCCTGATGTGGTCCCACTTGTCCCTTTGAGGAATTAT